TCTGCAATGATATACCGCTGGTGGATTAAACCAGCCTCTGATATCACTCGTTGACTTCTGCCAATTGAGAGAAAATCGTCAATGGAGTAAAAAATGGCCTAAGGAAATTTGTTGGAAGAAAATGAAAACAAAAAATGGAAGAGAAAGAAATCTTAAGATTTGATTTACTAAAAAAATAGTGATTTTCTTTGATTCACCTCTCTAGATAATTAGCTTATCCTAAAAATGGCCTAAAGTGGCAAGTAAATCTTGTCAAAGATGGTCATCTAAAAAATTGGTAATCCATTCTAGGTGTTTGTCAAATGATCAAAAGAAAATATTCAATAACCGAGTAAAAGTGTAAAAGATAAATAAGGAAACCTCATGCTTTTATTTAACCGGCATTGCCTCCAAACTCATAAACAATGGACTATTGTTAGCATTTCTTTCTCGGATGTTGCGTACCTTCTTTTTGCCTCATTTAGCTTCTGACTCTCGTATGCAATGGGTTGTCCCTCTCACAGTAGGACGCCCCATAGGGCGAAGTCTAACGCATCTGTTTCGACTTCGAAGGGTTTCTTCACGTTGAAAATCCCCAAAACTAGCCCTTCCATCATGGCGTTCTTTAAGTTGTCAAAGGCTTCTTACCAACATGGAGTCCAACTCCACTTGTTTCCCTGGTTCAGTAGTTCAGTCAGGGGACTTGCACGCTTCAAGAATCCTTCAACAAACTGTCAATAATAATTTGTTAACCTAAGGAAGGAGTGCACTTCTGTCACTAGAGAGGGGGTCTTCAAATCCTTGATGGCTTTGACTTTCTCTTCGTTCATACCCACCATGCCTGCTTCGATTATGTGTCTGAGAAAGTTAATTTGTTGTTGCGCGAACACACATTTTTCCCTCTTTACATATAGTTGGTGTTCTCTCAACTTTTTGAAAACTAATCGCAGGTGGTGTTGATGCTCTTCCATAGTGGAGCTGTAAACCACTATGTCGAGATATTCGTGGAAGACTTGGTTCATTAATATACAAAATGCGATAGGGGAATTATTTAGACCAAAAGGCATGACTAGGAATTCAAAGGTCCCATATCTAGTGGCGCAACTCGTTTTGGGCTCATCTCCCTCGGAAATTTGAACTTGATAGTATCCTAACCTTAAGTCAAGTTTCGAGAAGTACGTCACGCCATGTTGTCGATCGAAAAAGTCTGTAATGATGGGCAGAGGATACTTATTTCTAACCGTGATTTTGTTTAGGGCGCGGTAGTCTATGCATAGGCAAAGACTCCCGTCCTTCTTCTGAAATAACATCGGGGCTCCATAGGGAGTTTTCGCAGGTCTGATGAATCCGATAGTAAGTAGTTCATCTAGTTGTTTTCGTATCTCCGCTAACTCAGGTGGAGTCATTCTATAGGCGTTCTTTTCTGGGAGTTCCGACCCAGACATCAGTTCAATCTTATGGTCTATGCCCCAACGAGGTGGTAAGGTATTCGCTAGACTCTCTGGCATTACTTCGCGGTACTTTTCTAGTATGCGTTGTATTTTTATGGGAACGAATTCAACCGTTCCCTCAGTTTCAACCATAGGGATGACCATGAACGTTGGTTCGTTACACACAAGACCTCATTTAAACTTGAGCACCAAAATCATCTTGATTCCATCGGGCTTTTTGAAGCTTGTTTGAACAACGATAAGGGTTGATCCTGTTATGACTAAGTATTTATCCAAAGGCATGGGAATCACTTTATGTTTCAATAGGAATTTCATACCGAGTACCACATCAAAATCGTCCATTTTGATGATCAAAAAGTCCATTAGACTACTCCATGTTTCTAACTTGAGGGCAACCTTTCTCGCTATCCCAAAGATTGGTAGGGCCACAGAGTTGATGACCTTCATCTTTCTCGAGTCTTGATGCCACTTGATGTTCAACAGATTTGCTTCAGTTTCGATCATGAAGTTATGGGTGGCTCTTGAATTGACCATCGTACTCTTGTCCAATTTGTGATTCATCCATACTTCTATGGACATGAGACCTTTTTCAATCGATTCTTTTTGCTCCCCGGTCTTCTTTTGGTGTGCAAATAGGAACTTTAGGGCTCCCATCCAAGGACTTTCTATTTTCAACACTTTTTCAACTTCTTAACCCTCAGACTTTGTGTCTTAGTCCCGTCTAATGCGGCTTGGAACGCTTGTAGTGACACCTTCTTTGAGCACTCATATACCTTGTGGTTTCCTCTACATAGGATGTATGGTTGCGATTACCTCCACTCGAAGAGGCTTGGTTTCGTCTTGTGTCTTGAGAGGTCTTTTATGTCGTGTTCATAAAGTTTGGACTTCGCTCATGGCTTCAATCATTCTATGAACTATAAGATCTTATCTAGCTCGTATATCTGTCGGATGTCTAACATGAATAACAAGAATTATTTAACACACCCTCGAATGCTACCCGTGTGCTAAAGATCTTGAAATTTCCTTTTGGCTATGATCTCAACATTCCGTGGGAAGAATTTAGACCAAAACTCATGTTTTAGTCTTTTCCAAGTGTCTATTATGCATCGACCCTCTTGGATGTCCACACACTTCGAAACCCACCACAATTTCGACTAGTTAGTCGACGTGGAACTTATTCAACCGTTTGGTTGCAGACATGTCTATCAGGTCACTTTGGAGTCAACTAGGCTATGATACCAACTGTCACAATCGCCTTTTCTTGGTAGCGGATTTGGTGATTGTGCGGCACCCACTCTCAGCACTGAGTGAGCCAAACCAACTTTGGATCGCGTTGCCTACAGTTGGGCAACGTATACTCAAGCCTCGGACCCCAATTTGAAAAGATATCTTAGAAAACAGGGTAGGGATGTTTTAGAATAAGAGTTTGAAAGCAAGAATGAGAGAGAGATTGAGAGTGGTGCTATATGGCATGCAAGCAAAAAGTCAACAACGACTTAAACAGTATATAACTTTTCGGGTAGGGATAATTTGAGTATATAACTTTCGAGTAGGGATAATTTGAGAACTAGTCGCATTCCCCTAAAGTACATTTTGAGGCATTTCATGTCTACCAGGTGTAGCCATGATTTCGTCGAAACATCATACTCTTGGAAAAAACAAAAGAAAATATTACAACATGAAAGCAGTAAAAGAAAGCGATAAAGTAGTACAAGACAAGAGTTTCTGCCTTGTACAAGCATGATCATGACACTGTGCAATCCCAAAGGGTACTATATTAAGATGTCAATCTTTTAGTATTTAATATGGTCTCTTTGTATCCCATACCCAATCCCTAGTTTTTTAAAATAAAATTCAAACCCTTCTTTCAATTAGTTAATGTTTTGTTTTCATCTTTTAAATGTTGTTTTGGTTTTAAATTCGTAAAAGAATTATAGCGTACTTGAATGAAACGTTCATTCCAAACATCCATCAGCTCATATGTTGTAGTCATGCTCTCTAACTTTTCGGCTAAAACATTAGTTATATGCTTGCCAAAATATAGATTCTTGCCTTTTCATTGGCAGTTATCCAACAATCATATGCATCACAAACATTTCGGGTAACATTAGCGGTAGTTACTTGAGGACATTCATTAGTTAGAATGAATTTCATAGCATCTACCACAAATATATTTTTTATGTCATTTTTTAAAGTTGTACCGTTATTACCATTCAATTTGGCATAATGCTGTAGGTAGGTCAAGTGTTCGTTTACAAAACAGAGACATTCTCTACCAAATATTAGGATATGTGGTCACATTTCCTTTCGTGCAAACGACATAAAGAAAAGTGTCCATAGCAAAATGAAAAGGAAAATGAAATAAATAAAAGGGGCCAAACAAATTCAAACCAATGACCTCTAAACTACAATCAAATGTTCTATCACTAAGTTATAGGCCCATTTTGTATCAATTTAACCTTAGTGATTCCTCAGTAAGTAACCAACCTTAGTGACCTCTGTGTAAGTGTGATCTCTCATGTTACAGTTTTATTCTAATAAATGCGAGGATATGTTCGGAATTGGAAATAAACTAGGACCCTGTGTCCCGGTCTATTTTAGATGTTCACCTTGATCTACGCAAAAATCTTCTATAGGCTGAGCTATGGACCCATTTTGTGTGATCTCAAACTTAGTGAACCCTTGGTAAGTGACCAAATGAACTACGAAAAAGGAGACCAAAATTCGCCATGAGGCCCTACATGGATTTCTAAAACATTGATGACCAAGTTCAAACCAGTGACATCTAATATAGTTAAAATAACTGTGACCCTATCTTTTTCAGTGTCCAAAAGCAGCCATGAGCACATTTCAATCCATGCAAACGAAATATTTTCAGTGTCCAAAAGCAGCCATGAGCACATTTCAATCCATGCAAACGAAATATAGAATAGTGTTCATGACAAAAATTAAAAGGAGACTCAAGAGAAAGAGCCCAATTGGGTTCGAATTGGTGACCTCTTGATTTGCAGTCGCCTACTCTACCACTGAGCTATGGACCCATTTTGGATGATTTAAAACTTAGTGAGCACTCAGAAAGTGATCACATTTCATTCCATGCAAACGAAATAAAAAATAGTGTTCATGACAAAAAATAAAAGGAAATAAAAATGAGTGATGGACCCATTTTGGGTGATCCGAAACTTAGTGAGCACTCGGAAAGTGATCACATTTCATTCCATGCAAACGAAATAAAGAATAGTGTTCATGACAAAAATTAAAGGAAATAAAAATGAGTGAAAGAAACCCAATCAAGTTCGAACCAATGACCTCTTGATCCGTAATCAAATGCTCAACCACTGAGCTATGAACCCATTTTGGGTGATTCCAAACTTAGTGAGCAATCAGAAACTGATCACATTTCATTGCATGCAAATGAAATAACAAATAGTGTTCATGAAAAAAATTAAAGGAAATAGAAAAGAGAGAAAGGGCCCAATCGGGTTCAAAACGGTAAACTCTTGATCTGCAGTCAAATGCTTTACGACTGAGCTATGGACTAATTAAAGGAAATAGAAATGAGTGAAAGAAAGAGCCCAATCGGGTTTGAAGCGGTGACCTTTTGATCTGAAGTCAAATGCTCTACCACTGAGCTATAGGCCCATTCTGGGTAATCCTAAACTAAGTGAAGACTCGGAAAGTGATCACATTTCATTATATGCAAACGAAATAAAGAATAGTGTCAACAGTGTTCAAAATGCTCTACCACTGAGCTATGGACCCATTTTAGGTGATCCCAAACTTAGTGAGCACTCGAAAAGAGTGTTTATGACCAACTGGGTTCGAACAAGTGACCTCTTAATTTGCAGCCAAATGCTCTACCACAGAGCTATGGACCCATTTTGGGTGATCCCAAACTTAGTGAGCACTCGGAAAGGGATCACATTTCATTCCATGCAAATGAAATAAAGAATAGTGTCAACCGTGTTCAAAATGCTCTACCACTGAGCTATGGACCCATTTTAGTTGATCCCAAACTTAGTGAACACTCGAAAAGAGTGTTTATGACCAACTGGGTTCGAACAAGTGACCTCTTGATTTGCAGCCAAATGCTCTACCACTGAGCTATGGACCCATTTTAAGTGATCCCAAACTTAGTGAGCACTCGGAAAGGGATCACATTTCATTCCATGCAAACGAAATAAAGAATAGTGTTCATGACAAAAATTAAAGGAAATAAAAATGAGTGAAAGGGCTCAACTGGGCAAACGAAATAAAGAATAGTGTTCATGACAAAAATTAAAGGAAATAAAAATGAGTGAAAGGGCTCAACTGGGCAAACGAAATAAAAAATAGTGTTCTTGACAAAAATTAAAAGAAATAAAAATGAGTGAAAGGGCTTAACCGGGTTCGAATCGGTGACCTCTTGATCTGGAGTCAAATGCTCTACCACTGACCACTGAGTTATGGGCCCATTTTCGGTGATCCCAAACTTAGTGAGCACTCGTAAAGTGATCACATTTCACTCCATGCAAACGAAATAGAGAATAGTGTTCATGAAAAAAATTAAAAGAAATAGAAATGAGTAAAAGGGCCCAACCAGGTTCAAACCGATGTACCTCTTGATTTGTAGTCAAAATGCTCAACCACTAAGCTATGGACCCAGAAAGTGAAAGAGTCCAACCGAGTTCGAACCGATGACCTCTTGATTTGCAGTCAAATACTTTACCACTGAGCTATGGACCCATTGAGTGAAAGGGTCCAACCGGGTTCAAAACGGTGACCTCTTGATTTGCAGTCAAATGCACTACCACTTAGCTATGGACCCATTGAGTGAAAGGAAACCGGTGACCTCTTGATTTGCAGTCAAATGCTAAACTTACAAATGCTCTATTACTGAGCTATGGACCCATTTTGGGTGATCCCAAACTTATTAAGCACTCGGAAAGTGATCACATTTCATTCCATGCAAACGAAATAAAGAATAGTGTTCATGACAAAAAATAAAGAAAATAGAAATGAGTGAAAGGGCTCAACCGGGTTCGAACCGATGACCTCTTAATCTGCAGTCAAATGCTCTACCACTGAGCTATGAACCCATTTTAAATGATCCCAAACTTAGGGAGCACTCGGAAAGTGATCACATTTCATTCCATGCAAACGAAATAAAAAATAGTGTTCATGACAAAAAATAAAGAAAATAGAAATGAGCGAAAGGGCCCAACCGGGTTCGAACCGATGACCTCTTGATCTGCAGTCAAAAGAAAATAGAAATGAGCGAAAGGGCCCAACCGGGTTCGAACCGATGACCTCTTGATCTGCAGTCAAATGCTCTACCACTGAGCTATGGACCCATTTTGAATGATCCCAAACTTAGTGAGCACTCGGAAAGTGATCACATTTCATTCCATGCAAACGAAATAAAGAATAGTGTTCATGACAAAAAATAAAGAAAATAGGAATGAGTGAAAGGGCCCAACCGGGTTCGAACCGATGACCTCTTGATCTGTAGTCAAATGCTCTACCACTGAGCTATGGACCCATTTTGAATGATCCCAAACTTAGTGAGCACTCAGAAAGTGATCACATTTCATTCCATGCAAACGAAATAAAAAATAGTGTTCATGACAAAAAATAAAGAAAATAGAAATGAGTGAAAGGGCCCAATCGGGTTTGAACCGATGACCTCTTGATCTGCAGTCAAATGCTCTACCACTGAGCTATGGACCCATTTTGAATGATGAACCGATGACCTCTTGATCTGCAGTCAAATGCTCTACCACTGAGCTATGGACCCATTTTGAATGATCCCAAACTTAGTGAGCACTCGAAAAGTGATCACATTTCATTCCATGCAAAATAAAGAATAGTGTTCCTGACAAAAATTAAAGGAAGTAAAATTGAGGGCCCAACTAGTGACCTCAAATGCTGAGCTATGAACCCATTTTTAATAATCCCAAACTTAGTAAGCCCTCGGATCACATTTCATTCCATGCAAACGAAATAAAGAATAGTGTTCATGACAAAAATTAAAGGAAATTGAAATGAGTGAAAGGGCCCAACTAGGTTCGAACCGGTGACCTTTTGATCTACCATCAAATGTTCTACCATTGAGCTATGAACCCACTTTGGGTGATCCCAAACTTAGTGAGCACTCGAAAAATGATCACATTTCATTTCATGCAAACCCAAACTTAGTGAGCATTCGTAAATTGATCATATTTCATTCTATGCCAATAAAATAAAGAATAGTGTTGGTGACAAATTAAAGAAAATAAAAATGAGTGAAAAGGCCCAATCAGGTTTGAATTGATGACCGGTGACATTTTGAACTGCAGTTAAATACTCTACCACTGAGTCTCAAACAAAAAAGAAATAAAAAAGAAAGGAAAAGAAGAAATAAATGTAAAGGCTCAATTCGAACTGGTAAACTTTTGATTTGCAATCAAATATTTTACCACTAAGCTATGGATTCATTTTGTGTGATCTCAAACTTAGTGAACACTTGGTGGTAAGTGACCAAAACAAATTGTGACCCAATCTTTTAAAGGAGTCCAAAACCATAGGGACCAACCCAGGTCCAAAACCATATGTGATCACATTTCTATCCATGCAAACGATATAAAAATGAAAGGAAAAAGAAATAATGAAAGGACCCAACCTAACCAGTAACCTCTTGATCTGCCGTCCCAATAACCTTTTGATCTGCCGTCAAATGTTCTACAACTAAGCTATGGATTCATTTTGTTGATCTCAAACTGAATGAGCACTTACCAAGTGACCAAAATAAACTGCAACCCTATCGTTTTCAGGAGTCCAAAAGCCTTCGGAGGCCCTACATAGATTTCAGCACATAGATTTCTGAAACATTGATGAAGAAAGTAGACATACACGACAAAAATGAAAGGAGAAGAAATGAATGAAAGAAAATGAAAGGAAAAAGAAATAAATGAAATGAAATTAGTGTCCCAAGTTTTCTAATCTTCAAACCAAATGTGAAAAAAATAGTAGCCCAAGTGAATAATATTGTCAAAGGAAAAGGATGAACATCTGGTTTCTAACTCTTAATTTTTCTCTAGTCAATAAGATCTCGAGGCAATCCCGATAGCTCCTTTGAAAACATATCATTGAACTCGCTGACCACTTGTATTGAGGATGCACTAACACAGCTAGGTTCTATGGTTGGTGAAACAGATTATGAATCATGACTCTCTACCATGGTATGATATTATCCATTTTGAGCAGAAGCTCTCATGACTTTGCTTTGGGCTTCCACAAAAAGCCTCATACCAATAGAGATGTATTCCTTACTTATAAACTCAAGATCATTCCAAACTCTCTCCCAACAATCATCAACAAAGAACATGAACATGTTATATGTCCAAGGTTTCATGTGCCCCTTGCAATATAGCCTATGTCTAGAGTTTTAATGCACCATCGCGACCGTCTGAGTTTTAATACCTGAGTCCATGGCTTTATGCATCTCCTCCTGCTATCCTTCCGTAAGGATATCTATGTTCAATGTTTCATGCATCCTTTGTAACATAGTCTAGTCCATGACCTCCTACCAAGTAAGGTAACCTACCAGAAACATGGGCAACACACCCCACCTTGCTCATTAGGAGATCTTAAATGACTAGGGCATGAAGCAAGTTTGAATAGAGTGCTACCTAACTGTCTGAATGTCATGGCAGGCACCCACAAGTATTATAGGTATATAGCAAAATTAATGTTTTTTCTACGATTCATTTCATTGGATCATCACAATACAAAACATTGGTAAAAGGGAGACATACAAAGTTATTCAATATTTTTCTTTGTATAACCAAAAAAGAAAGTTCAATCCAGTAATGCCTAAAACAATGCATATTTACATGCCCTGAGAGCTGCTGCTCAACACATCTCTTGCGCTTCCGTCTGCTTTCATTCACATATGGTATGGACGCCTCATACAACACTAAAGGCTGATTGTAATGTAGAAGAGAACTGAGAAGCAATGGTCTGCGTGGCAAATTGCTGAAACTGTTTCTTCGCATCTGAAAGTTATTAGCAACACCATCAGCCCAAATGCCAATAATTTCATCATGCCTAAATCAGTCTTAGGAGAAGAATGTAAAGAAGAAAAAAGAGGGCTGGGTAAGAATTACAAAAATTTAAGTCAACCCACGACTGAGTGGCAATATCTAATTGTAACGATCCGAGATTGCTACTAACCTAAATTTGTTACCGTCATCATAACCTATGCTCTTACACAGGATTAAACATTTAAAACTTCATCATAAAACATTGTCACAGACTTGCGTGTTCGAAAACATTTTTAAAATAACATAACAAAATATTAAATGAAATAAATAAACAATAAAAGTAAAAACATCCTATCCTGACCTAAGATCTAGGAAATAAAATACTACTATCCTATGATGTTTTTAATGATAGGTCCCTAGCTCATGAGTTACATGGGTTTGCAGAGGTGGATTGTGAGATCCCACATCGGTTGGAAAGGAGAACGAATCATTCTTTATAAGGGTGTGGAAACCTCTTCCTAGCAGACGTGTTTTAAAAATCTTGAGGGGAAGCCCGAAAAGGAAAGCCCAAAGAGGACAATATCGGCTAGCAGTGGACTTAAGACATTACAAGCTTGATGAGTCTAAGAAAGGTGGGTG